AGCTCTGCCACCAATAAAGGTCGGGAAGGTAGTTCTCGTGATATGCTAAAGCCCATGTCCCTTTAGGGCAGAATTGCCTATATCCTGTGTTTGTTCATCTCTAGATCTATTTACTGGGCAACTACTGTGTGCCTGTCACAGAGACCAGACCTGCAAACAGGCATCTCGGTGGTGGCATACCAGAGATGTGTACAAGTTGCAAGGGCGTTATTAGCATTCTGCATGAGGTTGGTGTACTGTGGGGGGATTTTGCAAGAAGTCTTCTGAGTGGGCTGACCAGCTTGTCCTGATTTGTCCAGGCCTTGCCTGATTTTGAAACTGAAAGCCCCATGGGGAACCTTCCTCAGTCCAGGCAGACCAGGACCGTAGATCATTCCAGAGGCAGGAGCAGAGCAATGGAATGGAGGATTAGACATCTGCATACACTTAAGATGCACAGTCTACCCAGCCAGAGGAATGCCCCTTTGCTGTTTATGAATCTCCTGTTCAGAAAATCTGACAGCCTGCTGCTTTGTCAGCATTTACCCTCTGCCTGGGAAAGTGCACACTCCCATGCAACGGGAGGAGATTGCCCTCTGTTCCTGCAATTATTTTGGTGCAATGTTATGGAGGAATTCATGGAATGAGGAACTTTCTAGAAATAATTAATACATTTGAAAATTGTGGTTTCCTTTTAATTAAAAAAATCTGCTCCGCAGACACTAGGCAAACTTGTTCTCCAAAGCAATATGCTTTAAAAAATACCCCTTGGCTGAACTATGCTTTACCTTCAGTAACCCACACAATTGAAAGGGGAAGTTTCATTTTTAAGACAAGATGGAGCCACTGAATGTGGGTTTTAACTAGGACTTGTTTGCTTTTTTGTATTTCTTTAGGAGTTCCTTCCTCTTTTTGTCTTGGGGAGAGTCTCCCTTTGACTTGGTCTTTCCCTTTTTTATAAATGGAGGGCTTTCAAAGGCATGATAGAGGTAGCCGTCATTGGTAGAAGGGCTACAAAGAGGCAATAATATGATTCCTGTTTTATTTGGGAGATGTTCAAATGGTGCTTCTAAACTCCTTAATAGGTATATTAAAAAAATGTTTGAAGTCACATGACTTCACTATAGATGTAATGAACGACTCCATGCCTGAGTAGTGTGTAAGTACATTTAAAAATGATCAACACAGAAACCAACATTGCACTGTATGTTAATTGGAATTTAAATAAAAATTTGAAAAAAAAAGTGATGAACACAGATGGACAGAGCCAGTTGGGGGACGGCTTGGCAGGAATTGGTTGCACTTGGCTGTGAGGGAGTGAGGGAGATTGCAAGGACTCTAGGCAATGAAGATAGGGTGTAAAAAGCAAAATGTGTTCTATCCCCTGACATTGTAGGAGGGACGGTACATTGGGGCCCCTTTCCCTGGGGAATGGCTAGATGAACTGCTGCCACACGCAGCACTTGGAGCAAGTGAGGTCAATGTATCTGAACTAAGAGGAAAAGGTTTTTGTAGCCTATTGTTGAATGAGAGAGGCAGTAGAGCAATGTGATATATATACGTATTCACATAAATGTAAGGGAAATGACTCGAAGGTTGTGAATCTGAGGACAATGGTTATTGCTCGGGAGGATGGCAAGGAGACTTTTTTTTTTAAGATTTTATTATTTATTCATGAGAGAGAGAGAGAGAGAGAGAGAGAGAGAATGAGAGAGAGAGGCAGAGACATAGGCAGAGGGGAGACGCAGGCTCCATGGAGGGAGCTCGATGCAAGACTCGATCCCAGGACCCAGGGATCATGCCCTGAGCCAAAGGCAGACTCTTAACCACTGAGCCACCCAGGCGCCCCAAGGAGACTTTTTTTTTGTTTTAAATTACAAAATGAAACAGGAGAACACATTTATTTTTAAGAAAGGAGAAAGATCAGGTTTTGAGTTACCTATGGTAGAACAATTCCATTTTCTCCTTCTCCCTTTTTCCTTCCTTCTGTGCTTAACAAAAGGAGAGCCACATTTAAAAATCACATCATAGGTGCATAACACAGGTATGTCAGATTTTGTAGATAACCAGTGAGGAGTTAAGCCAAGGAGGTCAGAGTGTGGCTGGGGGGTGGGGTGAGGGCTTAGAGGTGAAAATCAGCTCTGGGCGGTGGAAATAGCTCAGTGCTGGCCCCTGCTCTCTGGGTGACCACCTCTTTGACTTTCAGCCAGCCTGGGGAGCCCCTCTGGGGGCTCATGCAGTGCCCCTTGTCAAGCAAGGGATGGTCTTTAAATGCTCCCATTTTTACTCCTAATGATCGCTCATTTATTTATTTACTTTTTAAAGATTTATTTACTCATGAGACAGAGAGGAGAGAGAGAGGCAGATAGGCAGAGGGAGAAGCAGGCTCGCTGCCTGGAGCCTGATGTGGAACTCGATGCCAGGACCCCGGGATCACAACCTGAGCCAAAGGCAGATGCTCAAGCTCAACCACTGAGCCAGCCAGGTGCCCCCTACCGATTGCTCATTTAAATGATTCCTTGGAAAGTTAAAGGCTGTGATAGTCCTAATGAAGGACAGCTTACCGCTGACCAGACCCTAAGGCGAATGCCTCTTTACCTGCTGCTTAGTGACTGGGAGTTGCTGTTTTTCTGAGACTGGAGACCACACACCAGCTGGGGCATCTGAGATGATGATTCGAATTTTCACCCAGGATCACGAGTAGCTCCTGGGCCTCTCAGGTGGCAGGGAGGAAAGGATCCCCAGCAGAGCAGACCAACTAGAAAGAAAGTACCCCTTTCTCCACAATGGTGCAGCCCTGCTGGGGATTTCAGGCTTCGATCTTAACCCCAGGCAGCAGCCTTGTACCCATCGTACCCCTGACATAAGATCTGGTTCTCCCCTCTTCACTTACATTATTTCCCTTCTTCTGTCTCTTCCCTCTTGTCTAGAAGTGGTGTCCCTTCTAACCTTTCCTGCTCCCAGATGATGAAAGAGGCCTACACAGGCCGCTGACAGGGCCAATCCTTCCCTGTATAGCTCAGGTTCTGAGGTTTGCCAGTGCATTTTGTTCAGTTGTATCCTGGTGCAATTTCCTAGGTCTGGTAAAGACTTTCCACCCTGGCTTATTCAGTGCAGTTCAGACCGCCACCCTCTAGTTCCCTTGGGGCCACCTCTGTACTGTTCAACATAGGGGATGGGTCTCTTTTGAAAGACTCCAGGCCCTTGACTTTCTGGACTTCCTCTGCCCCATTCTCCAACCTCTGAGGTTTTTTCTTTTTTTGTGGAATCCTCACACCCCTTCTCCACTGATGTTGCTCATTTCTCCGTAGCTGTGGTCTTCACATTCTTCACATTTCCTCTACCTGCTGTCATTTATGAGTCACAGTTACAAATGAAACTTCACAAGCTGAATGTCCCCACCACTTTGTACCTTCGAGGATGGCCTTCATTAACCACAAAGACAATCAGAATACAGCACGTGTGGACAGAGTGGTAGAGAAATTAGAGAACCCTCGTACATTGCTGGTGGGAATGTAACATGGTCCAACCACTTTGAGAAACAGCTGGGTGGTTCCTCAATTAAGTGAAACATGGAGTTACCATCAGATCCAGCAATGCCAGCTTGGGCATATACCCAGAAGAAAACAAGCACTCAAAAGTTTGTTTAGAAATGTTCATAGCAGCCCCATTCACAATGATCCACTAATGAGTAAATGGATAAACATATGGTATCCAGAGGATAGAATATTAGTTGGTCACACAAAAGAAGGAAAATACTGATACATGCTACTACATGGATGAACTGCAGACACACTGTGCTAAGTGAAAGAAGCCAGACACAAAGGTCATCTATCGTGTGAATATGCACTTTCACGAAATACCCAGAATAGGTAAACTCCTAGGCATAGAAAGTACATTAGCAGTTGCCAGGGTGGGGGCACTGTAGGAGGTGAGGAGGGAGCAGAAAGTACCGCACAGTGGGTACAGGATTTCTTTTTGGGGTGATGAGAAGGTTTTAGAACTAGACAGAGGTATGGTTACATATTCTGAGGGCATCTAATGACATGAAATTGTACACTTTAAAATGGTCAGTTTTAGGTTATGTAAAATTTTTGCTCTATTTAAAAAAATTTAGAAAAAAGGGAGCTGGCTCTGACTTCCTAAAAACAAAAAGATAAAAAAAGTAAATTAAAAAAAATTACAGGTGAGGTTCCAGAGTGACACCAACGAGTATGGTAGTCAGTAAGCCCCTGTGGGTGTTGAGCATGTGGAATATGGCTGGGCAGATGGAGATGTGCTGTCAGTATGAAGTTCACTCTGGACTTTAAAGCTTTATGCGAACAACAGAATGTAAAATATCTCCTTAATGATATTTAAGTAGTGATTACGTGTCAAAATGACAATTTGAGTATATCATATTGGGGAAGATTTATTTTTTTGAAAAGCCAAATGCCCCTGGGCTTAAACCTCCACTAAAATCTCAAAGTTTGATCTTTATCTAAAAGTATGTCTGATTAGGGTAGACATGGGAAAATAGGAAGCATCTCGCCTTCATGTGGGCCTTGGAGAAAAGGCTGGCCTTGCCAGTAGAAAATTACTGGGAGCTGGGAGGTCTAGCCCTCACCTCCATATTAAACTTTAGTTTTTTACTATTACTTAATGAAGGCTTTACCTTTAAAAATGTGCGTGCGAGTAGATCAGAATGCCTCATAGTTAGTCTTGCGTAGAAAAAAGAAAGATTCTTAGGATCCAGAGAGGAGGCTGGGCAGCTTTCATAGATTGATCTTGGGGAACAACTCTAAAAACACCACAAAGGGACCAGAAGAAGCCTCCAAATGGCCACTACTGAGGTCTTAAATTATCCTGTATCTGCAGTTAACAACAACAACAACAAAAACAAAAAGTTGTAAGAGCTTAAACAAGATGTGTGGCCCACGTTCATCCCAGTTTGCAAAAGTCATATTTGGAACATGCTGCTTTATTTTTTTGCCCTTTTACTTAATATTCATTTTTTCATTTTACATCCCCTCCCCCCCCAGATCAGCAACGTCTTATTTTTCGTTTTACCGCCCATCTGCATGTGCTTGTTTCGCCAGTATGCAACATGCTTCAACAGTGGCATCTACCTAATATGGACTCTCTTAGTTGTAGTGGGTAAGTGGATTCGCTTTCGAGCATGGGCTGAAAGGGAGGAAATGGAATTCTGCACACTTCCTGTCCTATTCGAACATTTTGTTTTGTAAGTCAAAGTCACCCTGACGTCTTAGCGAACTTTTATTTTGCTTGCTTAACGCCAGAAGGAGGACTCTTTTGAACACAGGCTTGATAACAAGGGCTACTGTAATGATCCCTGAATTGCATTTGAGGCTTTATTTACGTAACAGCCATTGGTGCTGTGCCAGCACAATTTTCTGAGGACTTCTGAAGAACATCACACACATTAAAAAAAAAAAAAAAGAAAAGAAAAGAAAAGAAAAAGAAAAAGAAAATTCACACAAAATAATTGAACTCTGATGAGACTCTCACCTAATGGTCCAAAATTAAAGAAAGAAAATTCTAGATGTTTGAGCCTTCATCCATTGTTCTGGGAAATGCTTGTATAATTTCCATTTCCTTCCACAGGCAGATTGGGAATCCTTAACAGTAAGAGAATGTTGACTTTTACTTACTGCCTGTTCCCATGAAGCCCTGGTGGAGGAGGATAGAGTGTTAAACTGTGGCATTATTAAAGTTCTGATGTGCTGACATGGGGGCGCTGCTTGAAATCCTCTTTTTAGGCTTCAAGTCTGCATGCCAAGGTGGTGTGTGTTTCTTCCTTCAGCTTCTTTCAGTGAGAGTGTGATCTGGTGATTGTGACAGTGGTTGGTCGAATGGCTGTCCTCCAGCAGCGTGTGGAGTTTGTGAGTCTATACTTCTGTGGTGACCTTCTTTATTGGTTGGAATTGATTCTAGGAATTGGATCCGTCTACTTCCATGCAACCCTAAGTTTCTTGGGTCAGATGCTTGATGAACTTGCAATCCTTTGGGTTCTGATGTGTGCCCTGGCCATGTGGTTCCCCAGAAGGTATCTACCAAAGGTCTTTCGGAATGACAGGTAAGCCTGTGCTAAATACTTTTGTATTTACTGCTAAGTGCAGTACCCAATATATGGATGAATGTATCTGGAAAACAGCACGCAATGGAGCCTAACCTCCTGATGAGTTTCTTATGTACTTGTTTAATGTCCACTAATCAGTTTATGGCCTGACAGAATAATGAGGAGGGAATTTTAATATGCTTGGACGAAGAATTTATAGGATATTAGGGGGGCAGCCCTGGTGGCTCAGCAGTTTAGATCCTGCCTCAGCCCAGGGTGTGATCCTGGAGTCCTGGGATCGAGTCCCACATCGGGTTCCCTGCATGGAGTCTGCTTCTCCCTCTGCCTGTGTCTCTGCCTTTCTCTCTCTCTCTCTCTCTCTCTCTCTCTCTCTCTCTGTGTCGCTCGTGAATAAATAAATAAAAACTTAAAAAAAGAAAAAAGGTATAGGAATATTAGGGGCAAAAAGTCAAATGCCTCCCTTTTAGGAAAGAACAAAAGTGGAAAGATTTTCAGTGGGGGAGAAATTATTGAATGGTAGTTCAAAGACCTTTGATTTTCTGCTAGAACTTTTCCTTGAGTCCAATCCAATTCTACCATTTGATAAGTTTATAGAATTCCATTAAGGAAGTGGCTCCTGTAGCTATAGATCTCGTGGTTGTCAAATGGTATTGGTTTTACTTCTGCTAAGATCTACACACACATACACACCTCCAAGCTGGAGATCCGGACTTTTAGCAAGGGATGCATTTTAATACCTGTTGTGATGCTTATATGGTTTTTCACCCAGTAAATATTTTTTTTGAACACTTACTATGCATTTTTTCTAGGTACTGGGATAAAGCAGTAAACAAAACAGAGTTTCTGCCTTCAGTGACCTCATACTGAAGTTGGGGAGGCTACAAATCAATGAACAAACAAACAGTACAATATTAGGATAAGTGCTAGGATAAAAAAAGGAAGCTGAGAAGGGTAATGGTGACATGGGGTGCTCATTTAGAGTTTGGTCAGGGAAAGCCTTTTTTGAGGAGCTGTAGGAGGTTTGTTAATATCTGAAGGAACAGAAGAGAGTCAATCTCATAAAGATGAGAAATGTTCCTAGAACATATTATCTACATATATTTCTCTGTGGGACACTATTTTATATGGAGATATGTGTATATGGATAAATAGTCTAAAAACATGGATTCAAGTAAGCAAGCTGTATGTACTCAGGGAAGAGCTATGCTAGGAAAAGAAAAGAATTCCCTACAGTTTTCCTGGTAATAGGAATTTTAGAGCTATTAAAGACAAAGGCTGTTCTCTATGGATGGAGGTAGAGAAGTATCCATAAAACATGCTGGCTGCAAAAAGCCCATGGTAGAACTATATTGATATTACAACTTTACAATGAATTAATCTCTTTTTGAGCCTGTGTCTTTGGTATTTGCAGAGAGGTGCCTAGAGAAGGAAGATAAACAACCACTATCATTGGCTATTATTAGGAATGGAATAGGGAATGAGGGAGAGAACTTTAGCTTTTTCCTTTAATCTATACCATTGTACAGTTTTTTTTTAAAGATTTTATTTATTTATTCATTCATGAGAGATACAGAGAGAGGCAGAGAGAGAGAGAAAGAGAGAGAGAGAGAGGGAGAAGCAGGCTCCATGCAGGGAGCCCGACATGGGACTCGATCCCGGGTCTTCAGGATCACACCCTGGGCCGAAGACAGGCACCAAACTGCTGAGCCACCCAGGCATCCCTGTACAGTTTTTTTTTTTTTAAACAAAGAGCACATGTTAATCTTTAATATTAAAAATGTATTTTTCAACGAGGTAGGGAGAAAACATACTTCAGATGAACTAGCTGTACAATCTTCATTGTGCAGAGCTGGATTTGAATTAAGTAGTTTTTTTTGGGGGGGGGGGACACCTGGGTGGCTCAGCGGTTGAGCACCTGCCCCTGGCTCAGGGCATGATCCACAGTCTCAGGATTGAGTCCCACATCAGGCTCCCTGCCTGGAGCCTGCTTCTCCCTCTGCCTACGTCTCTGCCTTTCTCTGTGTCTTTCATGAATAAATAAATAAAATCTTTTAAAAAAAGTTTAAAAAATTTATTTATTCATGAGAGATATACAGAGAAAGAAACATAGCAAAGGGAGAAGCAGGCTCCCCGTGGGGAGCCTGATGTGGGACTCCATCCTAGAACCCCAGGGTCATGCCCTGAGCCAAAGTTCAGACGCTTAACCACTGAACCACCCAGGTGCCCCTGAATAGTATTTTCTTTGAGAATCATCAAGCAGGTAAAGGGTCTTCAAGATTACTTATCCAAAAACGGAGAAGGAGTGAGCCAGCTGTTTACAAGAAGTGACCAGAAGGGCATTCTCGGACTCAGGAGAAATATAGTCTCCGTTTGCCATGGCCTTCTCAGTAGAGGAAGTAGGCTTTACCGTGGGGCAGGTTGATTTGGGTGGTCTTCAGTTTCTAGTCTTGTTGTGCTTGCTTCATTGGCTTCAGGAGAACAACCAGAGATGCTTACAAAGCCTCAGAGGTGGAGAAATGGAGTGGGGTGAGGGTCAAAGATGGGCAGCGCCAGGCAGGTTCATGAGGGGACATCATAGGCAAGGGCTTTCGAACTCTGGCTGAGAAACATCATTTACCTTTGACCTTTCCTGTGGTGTCAGAAGGTGGCCACCAGTTACCTCCATCCTGCCCTAAGCCTAGTGGGTGATAAGTTGAGAGCTGAGGAACCTCTTTGCTCTTAGATCTGATCTTTGAAGTCCTGGGATTTGAGTGAGAAGTTGCAAGTTGCTGATGATTTTGTTCATGACAATCTGGAGGTGCTGCTTGAAATTCCAAGTGACAGTTTTTAGTGTGTTCATAGAGAACCTTTTTCTTTTTTCATTTTTTTCTTAAGTAGGCTCCACACCCAGCAATGGAGCCCAACACAGGGCTTGAACTCATGACCCCAAGATCCAGACCTGAGCTGAGATCAAGAGTTGGATGCTTAACCAGCTGAGCCCCCTGGGCGCCCCTTTCTTGTTCATTTCTTGAAGGGAGGAGTGAGGGAATGTTATGAGCAGGAGAGAAAATGAGGCATTGGATGTAGTGACTATAAAGCTTACCAACTTTAATGATGAAGCCATACCATGAGACAGAGAGGTGACAGCTTGGTGGCAATACTTTTGTATTGCCAGCACCATTTCTCTGGGAAGATGGACTCCACTATCTTCAGCTTGGGGAGAGTCCTTTGGAGCCCTGAGCTCCACAGATGTCTGTGTCCCCAGCCTTGGAGACTCCCTGGGTTAGAATCCTAGCTTCCCTGCTTACAAATGGTGTGACTCGTCTTGACTCTTTCACTTTCTGTTTCCTCATTTGTCAAATTAGGTAAATAATCCTCTTGTGAGAGGATCCTGCAGCATACAGTAGAGTACTAGAAATGTGGCAAGTGCTCAGAGTTAGCTTCCAGTACTACCAGTGGCACGTGGAGAGTTCTGCTTAGCATTTTGGACACACACACACACAAACACACACACATTGAGGGTGAAAATGGAATCGTAGAGGTGATTGAGGAAAAGGTGTGTGTTATAGGAAACTGGTGCACTGTAAATAAGGATTTCCAACTTTATTTGTCTGCCTTCAACTTGCCAGTGACAGAGCAAGAAAACCAAACCCCTTTTTGTGGGCCTCACCACCCAGGACATGGGGACAGGTACAGCTCTGAGCCCAAGTGGCAGGCCAGACCAAACACTTCGCATCAAAACCAGGATTTCTGCAGACCAGGGATTGTGTGGCTTAGCCATCCAAGCTTGCCAGGTAACATCTTTTTGTGATCTAGAGTTCGCTGGAATATTTCTAAAACCACATTAAAAGTAGTTCCACTATGAGGCTTCTGGAGAAGGGACAGCAGAGCCTGGTGGTGAAGTGTGTCAGATGGACATGGCTTTGGGTTATAGGGCTTTGTTTTTTTTTTAAAGCTCTGGTACCTCATTTTGCTCATCTGTAAACTGGAGATATTAAGAGTACCTTGGGGGTTAGAAATATAGGGGAGAAATCCTATTAAGTGTAGAATACAGTGTCTTGTCCAGAGTAAGGACTCAGTAAGTCTAGCAGTTAGTATGACCGGTTAATATGGCAGGTGTTTTGAAGAATGTCTAGAACAGCAGGGAAATTATTAAAGTTTATCATATAAATAGGAATAATTGGCAGGTCAAAAAAATTGTTCTTTTATCTTGCCTAGAGTATCCTAAGAATCATCAGACACTTAGCTGTTGATGGTTAAGAATTTTTAGACATTTTTGTTTTGAGAAAAAAAACCCAAGAACAAAGAACTATTACAGGCTAATTGTTTCCATTTCTTAAAGATTTATCCCACTGTGATTTTTATGATTTTGTAATCCAGTTCAGGTTTTGAATCCTGAATTACCAGGGTGCAGGCTGGGGTCTGGCCATCCTGCTCTAGCTGGAAGACTGGGGCCAGAGTCTTAGTAAGGAACTGATCTGACCCAGAGAGCCTAATAAAATGACATGTCTGGACCTTCCAGGACCAAATGCTGTAATCCTGTGACGATCATGGCCGATTATTCTATATAGATTATATTTTAGTCCTAAAGTGTAGTTTAAAGGAGTGGGTCTTAACCAAGAACATTTCCATTCCTTAAGGGACATCTGGGCAGTTCATGGATATGTTTTTGGTGGTTACAATGATGGAGGTTTTATCCTCCATAAAATCCATTTCGCTTTGGAAGAACAAAAGGGTCATCGCTAAGTATTTGCTATATAAATGGGGTGGAGAGTCTGATGGGGTTGCAAACCTCTGCTCTAAAGGGTGGCTAAAGGTAACAACAGTAGCAGCTTTGTTATGTTGGTGGTGTTGGGGCTCTTTTGACTTAGGGGAATCAAGGAAGGCCAAGTGATGGGCGCTCCCTGACCTGGTTCCAGTTTGAGCCCAAAATTGGCTGGAAAGTTGAGAACAGGACCAGAGATCACATCAAGGGTTGCCCCATGTCACTGATAAGACAACAGCCTGTCAAGAAGCCCTCGCTCCTGGACATTCCCAGTTCTTGTACCTAGGACCTCTGGGGACTCTGGGGTCAGCCAGCCTGGCTCTGTGGCTTCTGCCGGTTGCAGATTTGTATGTTCACAGGTTGTTTTGTCGGCTCTTCTTAGAGCACATTCCTCCACATCCTCTGGACCAACATGGGAGGTGTCTGCCTATGTTCTCCTTAAAGAAAACAAGTTTCGTCAGGCTTGCTGCCTTTGAACTATTTGGCAGTACCCTATAGAGCTTTGGGAGATTGCAACACCAGCCCCGTCACTTTTCCCTGAGAGTAGATATTATTCACAATAATGTTACCATTTATTCTCAAACAATGATGACAGTGATAGTGGATTTTATTAGCACATACCATGTACTGGGCACCGGGCACCATGTTAAATGCTCTAATGCTTGTAGGGAATGCCATGGCGTAGGGGGTCTTCATTTCCAAAGGGGAAATGTGAGGCTTGGAGGGTTTAGCGATTTGCCAAAAGGTCCCACAGCTACTAAGCAAGGGGAGCAGAAAGTGAACACACATCTGTTAGCTGGTACACCTGTGCTTATATTACTGTGGCTCCAGCTCCCGAACCATTGATCTAGAGAAGTAATGCAATTTAAAAATGTTTGTTTGGTAACCCTCTTTTTTTTTCTTTCTTTTTTCTGCTTATCCAATCTAAAAAGGCTGAAAAGCCTTGGTGCAGGTCAAAGAACCTCCATACCCCCTGAAAGAGTGATGGTGGGTCCTTAAGGGCCATTTGCAAGGTGGGAGGAGGGGAGCCGCCTCTGTCATCCTCAGCAGGCAGCCTTTCATCCAGTAGCGAAGGATGCCAGCCAAGGCCAGGAGGAAAACACGACTCTCCTGAGGATTTGCTGCCTGGATTCTTTCCCACATACGTATTTCTTCTCTGGTTGAAGTTCAGGGCTACAATTCCTGTTCCTTCCAGTCAGAAAGTTGGCAGCTCGATCAATGATTTCCTGTGCCTTGATGATAAATGGTTTTCCTCTCGAAGAGATAAATTTGTATTTTGGAGGTTTCTGTGTACTTTGATTTCTTTATAATGGGATTTCATTCAAATGAGTTTCCCAGCTACGACCTGTTCCAGGGCTTTTGGCCAAAGTAAATTGTGCTAATGAGGAATAAAAGAAACTTCAGGAAAATCATGTGCTCCTAAATTTCAGCCATGGATGAGGCCTTGGGGATCATCTAGTCCAGCCTTTTCGTTTCATAGATAAGGAAATGGGAGTCCCAGGGAGAGAAAGAGCATGTCCCAGATCACGTCGCCACTTCTGGCTCTTTCTACAGAAAGCACCTCCACTGAGGGATGTGAGAGTGGGATTTTTCCAAGATTGGTCATGTCAAAAACTTGTCAACAGAGTTCCAGTGCATGCTGGGCTGTGAGTTGCCAGTAAATATAGACACTCTTAGAATTTTTCCTTAAGCCTTTTAGCTTTATGTGTTAGACACATAGGTTTTTTTCTTTTAAACTAGGGAGCTTTGTCAGTCGTCCCCGTTTTTCTTGTAAGAGTCCTACACGTTGTTCACCTTGTAGAACAGGGGTCGGAAGGCTAGGTCCCATGAGCCAAATGGGTCCACTGCCTGCTTTTGTGAGTCAAGTTTTATTGGTGTGTAGCCACGCCCATTCACTTACTGCTGCCTACCGAGGCAGACTTAGGTAGCTGCAGAGGTCCTGGGACCTGCAAAAACCCAAAATATTTGCTGTCTTACCCTTTACAGAAAAAGCTTGCTAACCCCTGCCATACAATATATGAAAAAAAAATATATAGAAAAGTAACACTAACGAAAACAATTATCCACATTTAAGACTTAGATGGATTCTCATTTCACCATTCTCTTGGCTAAATATTTTACACATTTTTTGGTTATTTCTTAAGGATAAACTTCTAGAGGTGGAGTTCCTGAACTGGGCATGTGAGTGGGCTTAAGACTCCTGGTACTTAGGGCACAACTTCTTTTCAGCTTATACTCCGCCTGCGGCACCTGTACCTTTGCCAGCATTCACTAAACAAACGAGACCTCCTTTGCTAACAGTTCAGTTTGCTTTCATTGATTCAGGGGCAGGTTCAAGGTGGTGGTCTGCGTCCTTTCTGCAGTTACAACATGCCTGGCGTTTGTCAAGCCTGCCATCAACAACATCTCTCTGATGACCCTGGGGGTTCCATGCACTGTGCTGCTCATTGCAGAGCTAAGGAGGTGGGTACTTTTGTTCTTCCCGCCTGCCCCTTAGGCTGACCCTGTGTTGGGAACACACCAGCTTCTGGTTTTTGTTTTTGTTTTTATAAAGATTTGAGACAGAAAGATAGCAAGCACACATGAATGGGGGGGGGGGAGGAGTGGAGAGGGAGAGAGAGAGAGAGAGAGAGAGAGAAAGAAAGAACCTCAAGCAGACTCCCTGCGGAGCACAGAGCCTGAGGTAGGCAGGGCTTGATCCCAGGACCCTGAGATCATGACCTGAGCTGAAATCAAGAGTTTGATGCTTAACTGACTGAGCCACCCAGGCTTCCCGCTTCTGGTGTTAATTTGTTTTGTTTTTAACCACACTCAAGTGTGGAAGAGGAATCTGACTCTTCATGTAGAGTTAGTTCCTGACTGGGTGACTAGAAGCACATTTGATGGCTTGGTTCTAAACATTAAGGGGAGAGGGGAGCAGCTGTTTAGTGGATGCAATGCATCCCAACAATCCAAAGCTAGCTCAGCAGGAACGTCTCAAGGACCTGGTGAGTGCCTAGACCAGCCTGCCTAGCCTTAATTCTGTGCGAAGAATAGATTTGTTTACATGGCAAGAATAAGGAGAAGAATCCTAATGAGGCTATTGCATTTACACGCAGAAGGGGAAACAGAGGTCTATATCCGAGGCAACCTCGACTCCAGGTATGGTACCATTGACTGTGCTAGGCTCTCTGACACCTGTCCTGTAAGCCTTTGCTATTTGCATAAGGATTTTCCTTTGGAAACTTGTCTATTCAAGTTTAGGTTGATATCCAGAGACAGGTTAGCCTTGTGTGTGCAGGACTTCCTTAACCCCCAAATACATCAAACTGCCCTTGTTGGAATACTCTGAAAATGCTTTTTCTTTGTGCCCATCTTTATCATTTTTTTTTTAAGATTTTACTTTTATTTATGAGAGAGAGAGAGAGAGGGAGGCAGAGACAAAGGGAGAAGCAGGCTCCACAGGGAGCACCACGGGGGACTTGATCTCAGGGCTCTGGGGTGACAACTCCAGTCGAAGGCAGATGCTTAACTGACTGAGCCATTCAGGCGCCCCCCCTGTAAGATGGCGCCCCATCTTTAGAAGTGCATTTTAATTCAAGACTTTCTCATTGTTGAGGACATGGCATTTAACTGCTCTGTCTTCTGAAGTCTTGTATATCTTACTTTGTGTGAGAGTTACTCTGTGTGATGTATTGACAGGTTTCTCTCAGTCTTTGTTCTGAAAGGAGATACATGGTTCTTTCCACTGCTTTGCCTCTGAGGGTTGCTTTGAATGGTGGCAATACCAGGCATGATCAATGGTGATTGAAGAAGTATTTAAGAATACTGGCTGGCCAAGGAAGGATGCTATTGGTCTTGTCTTGTTGGCTTCCTTCAGTAGCCTTGAAGGAGTTGAAAAATAAGAGACTCGTTTCAGAACACTAACAGATTTTGAAGCTCTTTGGAAAACACACAAATTGCCAATAAAGAGATCTGAAATGGATTTGTAACAGTTTAGTGGTACTGGCTCTTATTAGGCCTGAATTGAGTAGAAGGTCCTGGACTTAGCTAGGTTTCTTGAGAACTCACTTTGTACATAATCACAAAGGAAATCATCTGTTTCATACTTAAAAATCTTTGCCCCTGAAAAGCTAGCCACCACTCCAGCTTGTTGGTCTCCGTCATTATATTGATAAATGGCAGCATCAGGGGAAGTATCCCTCCTTTCTGGATCCTTTCTGCTGGGGTCTTTCTGCCTGTGGATCATTCCCTCCATTCTCCTAAACATACTTTACTCCTGTATATTGTCTACTGGGTCCTTAGCCCTCCTTAAATGGTCCCTCCCATTGGCCTGTAAGAACACTGGGGCCTCTCCCATCTTCTCTAGCCCTTAGCCTGGCCTCAGCCCAGGTCTGTCTCCAACCACCACCCTTTCTCTCTTGTCTGTCACAGCCCAAGGTCTGAGAAGTGCTTATTATATATGTAAGTGATCTCTGTGCCCAACATAGGGCTCAAACTCAAGACCTCAAGGTCAAGAGTCATATACTCTACCAACTGAGGCAGCCAGGTATCACAACCTAGCATCTTTAAAAGTTATCTTCATCCCTTAGCTCTCATTTCTTCTTTAGCCCAGTGCAGTCTAGCTTCTGCCCCACTTCCATGCCTAAGCCCCCCTTGGCTATATGTCCAGGGACGGTTCTTCAGCCCTCCTGTGTCTTATGTGCTCTTCTCTCAGCTGTTTGCAGAATCCACTCCTCTCATCCTTGCCTCGTTCTTCCCTATGCCTCCTAGGATGCCACACCCTCCTGGAATTCCGCTCTGCGGCAGCTTCTTTTCAGACTCTCAGGTGAGCTCCTTATTGGCTATATACCTTTGCATGTAGGGGTCCCTTAAGGTAACCTCTCACTTGGCCTGGAAGAGCTCATTGACATTGCACTAATGACTGAATGCATGCAAATGACTCCCAGGTGGGTATCTGACTCTGTCCTTCCTTCTGCCTCCACTGTGGCACATCTGGCTACCTGCCCAACCTTGGACTCCACCTGTCACAGCCGTCTCGAATTCATCCAGATTCCTGATCTGCTTTTCCAGTCCTGGTTCTCTTGATATTTCCAGGTGCAGTAAATGAGCACCATCTACCCATTTGCTCAAGGCAGAAGCCTGGTTTCCTCTCTTCCTTCCCTGAACATCCCCATCTGATCAGTGTCATTCTATTAGTTGACATGACAACTGACATCAAGTTTAATATCCTTAACCTGGCCCATTCTTCTAATAGTCCCAGTCTCTCTCTCTTTTTTTTTTTTTAGCTGACATTGCATTGAAGTTCAAAATCTTAACAGACCCCTGCCTGCTGACCTGTCCTGCATGAAGCTCCCCCTTACACTCTATCCTCTAGCTGTTCCGATCTTCCCTACCCCCAAAGGGGCTTAGCTCTTTCTGTCCCCAGGTCCTTGTTCCTGTTGTACATACTTTTGGACTCTCCTGTTTGGCTCGCTTCTGGCTCATTGTTAACTCACCTGTTTTGTTCAGTTGTTCATAGCATCTCAAGCTCTTTTCTGGCACCCATCCCAATTTTTTAGTAATTAAAAAAAGTTATTTGTGCTGGTTTTTTGTTTAGTGTCTGTCCCTTTTCTTGATGCAGACTCCACAGGCAGGGATGAGGCCCCTATGTTCACTGCCATGTCCCAGTTCCCAGCCGAGTCCCAGCAAGGAAAGAAGATGGCTGTTGGCCTGCTTTGATAAAATTCCCAGACAAGGGGATGCTTTTGTTTCTCTTTGCATTTCCTTCCAGGACCTTTCCTGCTATCATTAGCGATGATCTGTGATCTGTAATGGCGGGTGGCAGCTAAATATTTCTCATTCAGCCTCCCTCTCTGCTCAAAGGAGCTGGGGAAGCTTTCTCTTTCCCATTAGCTTTGCTGCTAGAGCTTGTATCTAGTCTTTTCATATTTTATCTTATTTTTTTAAAGATTTTATTTATTTATTCATGAGAGACACAGAGAGATATATAGAGAGAGGCAGAGACACAGGCACAGAGGGAGAAGCAGGCTCCATGCAGGGGGCCTGACGTGGGACTCGATCCTGGGTCTCCAGGACCAGGCCCTGGGCTGAAGGCGGCGCTAAACCGCTGAGCCACCCAGGCTGCCCTCTTTTCATATTTTCATTTTCTTTTCTGAACTTTCTTCTCTCAGACCATGAGACAACAAAATTTTATTTCAGGCTATGACCTGATATTTAATGAAATTTGTGTGAATATTACTAAGTGGCTCAGCTGCATATAACATAAAATATTTTTAAAAATTATTTATTCATGAGAGATACAGAGAGAGAGACACAGACAGAGACATAGGCAGAAGGAGAAGTAGGCTCCCTGCGGGAATCCCGATGCAGGACTTGATCTCAGGACCCTGGGATCACAACCTGAGCCAAAGGCAGATGCTCAACCACTGAGCCACCTAGGTGCCTCACATTCAATATATTTTATTTTATTTATTTTTAAGAATTTATTTAATCGTGTGAGACACAGAGAGAGGCAGAGACATAGAGGGAGAAGCAGGCTCCCCACGGGGAGCTGGATGCGGGACTCAATCCCAGGACCCCAGGATCATGACCTCAGCCAAAGGCAGATACTCAACCACTGAGCCACCCAGGCACCCCAACATATTTTAAAGTAGGTGCTTTTTTACTGAGTGTAGGAGACAACTTTGAGAATACAACAAAGGGTTAAGAAGAGGAGAACTGCAGTTATCAGCTCAGGTTTTTTTTATCCTAGAATTGGGTCCTGTTGTATATATCACTTTTGTTCTGCTTTTCTCATTTAATCTCACATTGAGTCAAGTACAGATAGGCCTGGTCAGCAGCAGGTAGCAGGAGCTCTCCCTCTATGAACAGAGGAAGGGGCAGTCCCAGGGCACCCTGAGATGCTTATTGGGCAGGGCTTTCCCCACACATGACTCCTCACTCGGCATTCTGCTTCTCTTGCCACTTGGCACATGCTCTGCCTTTCCAGCATATTGAGGTATGTTCTGGTGTGTTCCTTAAGCAAAAGATTCTAGGTTTAATTGAATTGAGTGTACCAAATTGTCTGTACTTGTTGACACTTATTTTTATCCACATTCATTTTATCTTTTACAATAGCAAGGCAAGAGGCCTGTTCATTTTGCCTTCCACAGTGCCTAGCATGCATTCAGAGAATTTGGTACTGAATCAACGTGGTTGCTGTTGTTGGTTTTTTTTTTTTTTTTTTTTTGAAGTCTGAGGAAAAAAATGTGTTTCTTAGATCACTGGAATCCAATTAACATTTTCTTTTACTTCCTTGTTTTATTTATTCATTCAGCAAGCATTGATTTCATGTCTATTCTGGGCCAGGCACTGCATATACTTGGTGAAAAGCAGATAGAGTTCCTATTCTCTTTGAGCTTCCTGTCTAGTCAGATACTAGACCTTCAATCACACAATCACACAAATGAAAACTATCAGCTTGTGATGAGTGTTATGAAGGAAAATGGTGGGCACTCATGGTATGGACAATGTAACAGGGGTGGGGGCTGTCAGAGAAGGTCTATTTGAGAAGGCACCCTGGAAGCCGAGACCTGAGGAGGCAGAGAAAGCTGAGCTGAGAGAGAGGAGGAGCCTCCGAGGGTGAGCTGCCCAACAAAGCTAAGTAGGAATTTAGTGTCTCCAGTTCTGGGCCTCTCTCGAAAAGTTTTTCAAGGAATGCATTTAGCTCTCCTACAACAGGGTATTTCTGTTTGTGTTTTTTGAGTTGGCCTTTCTGAACCTATTTCCCATCCTGTTTTCACTGATGCTTGTGCCAATGCTTCTGTCAGGTGGCTGGGAAAGGTACCAACCAGTCAGGCTTTTGGCATTTATACAACAAATATGAACAAATAGATGTGGCTTCTTCTCAGGTGCAGAGGTTACACATTGGACTCTGGGTCCCGAGAGGGAGCGGTCTGTGGAGGGAAGGAGAGCCTGAGGGAGAGCTGAGAAAAACCCTCAGCCACCAGCTGCCTCCGAGCATGCCTCCCTAGGAATGGAAGTCACCCTCCTTTATGAACAATTCCAGAACAAGGGAGGGAAATGACAATGGAAATTTCTTTGGGCTCTTAGGATTTGTTTCTGAAAAGCATTTTGTCCCAGTGTATGTGAGAGCTCACTTTTTTATTCAGCAAATCAGGGGAGCCCTCCGTGTTCCATGCTGTTTCAGGGGAAGACCAACTGTCAGCAGGTAAAACATGGAGGATGCTAGAGGGGTTATAATCCCTACAGAGAAAATTGGAGGAGAGAAAAGGAAATGGAGGTGGGGTTGGGAGCGTCACTTAGCGGGTGGAGACAGGTGGTGTGATTGTTAACAACAGTGGTCAGGAAAGGGCTTACTGAGTGACATTAAGCAGAGACTTGGGAGACAGTGAACCACATGAATATGTGAGGAAGAGCGCTCCAGGTGGCAGTAACAGTCAATGCTAAGGTCTGGGGAACATGCCAGGGATATTTGAGGAGCGCAAGGAGCCCTGGGGCAGGGGGTGTGCGGTTGATGAGCGGAGGTGGCAAGGGGCAGTGTAAATAGAAGAGCAAGTGGAGGGCTGAGAACAAGCCAGCACACGTGGGGCCTTGTGGCCCCTGGGAACATGTTGGCTTTCCCTCTGGTTAAGTGGAAGACAGAGGGAGGCTTTGAGCAGAGCACTGAGAGTGGACTGTAGGAGCAGGGGCAGAAGGAGGCAGTTGCCATAACTCAGGCAGGAAATAATGGTGGCTGGACTCAGGTGGAGGTGGTGGGAAGGGTATATAGATTTTGGGTATATAGTGAAGGTAGAGCTGATGGGTTGCATGTGGGGTGTGTGGACAAGTACAGTGACTAAGATACTGGCCTTGAGCTTCTGAAGAGCGTGGAAGGCTCTTGCCTGAGCTGGCTGGGAGGAGAGAGATCTTGGGCAGGAGGAGAGATTAGGATTTCATTATGGACATGTTAAGTTTAGGTCTGCGTTGCACAGGGGGAGACACGTCCAGAAGGTAGCTGGCTATGGGAGTCTGGAGTCAGGGAGAGACCAGGGTGAGAACACGGCTTTGGGAGTCATCTGCACATATATGTATGGCATCCATGTCCACAAGCTTGTGGGGTGACAGGATGTGGGGTTGGACCTCCAGCGCCCAGAGACTGGGCTGGGGGGGTTGTGAGGAGCCAGAAAAGATTGGCCAGCAAGGCGGGTGGCAGCCCAGACTGAGGGTGACTTGTTTTCTGGGTCCCTGTGCAGGTGCGACAATGTGCGTGTCTTTAAACTGGGCCTCTTCTCTGGCCTCTGGTGGACCCTCGCGCTCTTCTGCTGGATCAGTGACCGAGCCTTCTGTGAGCTGCTGTCCTCCTTCCACTTTCCCTACCTGCATTGCGTGTGGTAAGTGCCAGCGACCAGACCGCAGTCTTCATCCGCCCGTGGGCAGGCACTCTCTTCCTTGTAGGGAACGCAGGTGTGCAAGAGGACAGAGCACGGCCTGAGCGCTCTTCTCTCCTCACAGAAACGGTCAGATCTTTTGGAAGCAATGGAAAGTATTGTCAAAAGCAGAATAGGCTCTGGGGAGCAGGCTTAGCCACATCAGAAAGACCTAATTGTGTGAGGTTCAAGTCTGCGGTCTCTTACCTCTAGTTCCATTACTAAAGCATAAAGGAGCTTGAAAGCTGAATCCGTAACCTGAACTCTAGCTAGATCTCTGGGGGTGGGATAGGGGTGGGGAAGGCTTGGGACAGAAGTGATGTAGGGACTGAGATGCTCAAGTGACCGGGTGAAGGCAACACAGGTCATTTGGGGACAGTCTCACCCCTTCACTTAACAGGTAGAGGTAGATGCCCAGAGAGGTGAATTAATTGTTCATGATTGCTCACCTGGGAGTTCAGTCATGGGAATTGGAGCATCTATGCATTGGAATGCTCAGGATATGTGGTTAAGTTTAAGAAAAAAAAAAGCAGCAAACAGTTTATTAAACAGCCTGCAGAATCCTACACTCAGCTGAGAAGTTGAGTGGTTTCTTCCTCTGAACTGCTTCAGCTCCAAACCAGAATCCTGATTTCCTCGGTCCTCCAGGACTTCTGATTGCAAAAGAGAGCAAGGGCCAAGGGAAATCTGCTTTAGGATGTCCCTTATAAATTGAAAGCACCCAGGGAGAATTCTAGTGGTAAGGAGTTGGAAAAGCTTTATTAGATCCAAGATTCGGAAGAAGCTTGACTTCTATCAGGAAATGCCTGAAACTCGTGTAAATTCCCTTGAACATGGGAACTTGTATATATTTAGCATGATACCCAACCTGCTCTCAGTTTAAGGCTCTGGGACTCCCAGGACTGTTTTCCAAAAGACAATACAATGTAAAACAGCACAAACTGGAGATTCCAGTCTCAGGGTCCTTTTCCTGATATTTTTTAGGTTCAACCTCAACTCACACTAGTGAATTTATGCACTATAGATTTGCTGAGTTATAATGGAGATCATAAAATGCAGATTTTAAGTGTGTACTTTAATGAGTTTTGATAAATGTATACATGTATATAAAAAGACTTCATTCAAGGTACTAGAAGTACATTTTTAATCAAGTTTCTTGGTAAGGTCAGCAATTTAAGCAAAATTCAAAAAGTAAGTTGTAATTAACTAAACTTAGTTTCTGAGTTTGAGAAATTAAGCAGGAGGTACACCACAGTTGAACCATGTTTTTAGCTCAGTTATGATGTTTTAAGAACAAATTTAAGCAGAGTAGTATAGAGAGGCTCTCATAATTCTGTCCACCAAAGAGTGATAACAATTGTTAACAACCTAAAGTTTATTCCTCCAGACTTTAAGATTATTTTTAAGTAATCTCTTCACCTAACATGGAGCTCGAACTGATAACCCCAAGATCAAGAGTCACATGCTCCATCAGTTGAACCATCCAGGTGTCCCTCCTTCCAGATTTTTAAAAAAGATTATTTGAGAGAGACCAAGCACACATGCACAAGAGAGAGGGGTGTGTCGGAGAGACAAAAGGAGAGGGAGAGAGAAACTGGAGCAGATTCCACGCAGATCTCAAGATAGGGCTCCACCTTACAACACTGAGATCATGACCTGAACCAAAACCAAGAGTTGGCTGCTTAATGGATGTACCACCCAAGAACCCCACCTTCCAGATTTTTCACGTCTATTTCTCTAACTCTACCTTTTAAAAAATAAATATATCATTCTATACATGCTCCAAACTTTTTTTTTTTAATAGGATGGTGGACAACTTTCCTTACCAATGCATATATATTACCTTTCATATTTTTGTGTCCAATTAATATTTCATAGTATGGATGCTTTATAAGTCATTTAGCCAAACTATTAATGGATAATTAGGTTATTTGTTCACATGCCTAAACATTTCCTTAGGTTAAATTTTATACATCTATACCTATATATAGATATATCTGTATCTATAAATGCAGGTACAAGTATAGATCTCTATCTCCAAATCCAGGGAGAGTATATTAATGAACACTTTCTATTAGAGTCTATAATATCTAATATATATGAAAGTATAGGTAAAAGGCATTAGCTCTTAAATGTTAACCTGATTAAAAATATTTTCCTGTCTTTGTAAAGTTAGAATTATTGTTGAGCATCTTTTCCATTGTAATTTTAATGTGTATATTTCTTTTTTTTTTGAAAGGTACCTGTTCATTTGCCTTCTCTGTGGAGTTTTTTCTATTTTTAAAAATTTATATCTAGCATATCTAGCACCTAGTGCCTGGCACATAGTCAGCAGTCATTACTATCCAATAGCTGTATGTATTATGCACATTTGCATCATTTTCAAGAGTATAGGGAATACTACATTAAGCCCTCATGGAGGCAACATCCAGCTTCAGTGCTTATCAGCCTGAGGCCAGTCTCACTCCTGCCATCCTCACCCACTGCCTGCTCCCCTACCGATTCTTTTAAGGGGCATCCTGTGAAATGATTAGTTTTTGAGAGTTATTTGGAATGTAGGGATTTTATTTTTATTTTCCGAGAGACCCAGAGAGAATGTGTGCATGAGTAAAGGGAGTGGGCAGAGGCGGAGAGAGAATCCTGTGCAGGCTCCATGCTCAGTAGAGAGCCTGATGTGGGGCTGATCTCACCCCCCTCTTAGATCATGACCTGAGGTGAAATCAAGAGTCAGCCGCTTAACAGCTGGAACCCCACCCAGGTGCCCTGGAATATAAGGCTTTTACTTTAATTAAAAAAAAAATTAAAATAGAATTTAAATTCAATTAATTAACATATAATGTATTATTGGTTTCAGAGGTAGAGGTCAGTGATTCATCAGTCTTGAATATAAGGACTTTAACTCTTTGGTCATACGGTACAAATATTCCCCCCTCCCCTTTTCCATTTATCTTTCAGGATAGAAGGAGTTTGGTGCCATCTTGGTTTTAAAGATTCCTGTTCTCACACCTGTCAGTCTTTTCCTGTAGGATTTCTGGACTTTGTTTCATTCTCAGAACGGCTGCCCCCACCAGAGTTTATGAAAGTGTTTTCTTTGATTATATTTAAAAAAAAAACATTTTAAGTCTTTCATTCATCTGGAATGGATTCCACTCTAGGGTAGAAAGAAGGATTACATGCTTCTAGATGGTCCCTTGCTTGATAAAGATTCATGTTAAAATTTTTACAGACACAGTAGAGTAAAAAAGTTTCCCTACTAAAACTGTAGTAGTTTAATTGGTATAAAAGGATTCCTAGTAAAAGGTAGAAACTATGTATATGCAACGTTGCAGTAAGAAGGTGGGATCTCATCAGATGTCAGTTCCATCTTCCTAGCACCTGTTTTAAATCCTTGGGCCTCAGTCCTTGGGGGTTGAGCAAAAGACTGTTACCAGGTGGAATATTTTAGAACTTTCCAAAAAAAAAAAAAAAAAAAAAAAAAGAACTTTCCAGAGCAGGCCCCGTTGGTTCCAGATTTGTTGGTCTCCTGCGATGTGGGGGCCTGTCCTGACGGGAAGAGGCACTGGCCTGTGGTTACCTCGGGGAGGTGGGCTGGGCCAGAGTGCTGGGCAGGCTCACCCAGGGCAGCAGCTCTGTTTGCACCTGTTCGGGGCTCACATCCTGTATCCTTCTGCAGGCACATCCTCATCTGCCTTGCTGCCTACCTGGGCTGCGTATGCTTTGCCTACTTTGATGCTGCTTCCGAGATCCCCGAGCAGGGCCCCGTCATCAAGTTCTGGCCCAGCGAGAAATGGGCCTTCATCGGGGTCCCCTACGTGTCCCTCCTGTGTGCCAGCAAGAAGTCACCGGTCAAGATCACATGATGGGGAGGCTGGCTTCTCTGCTTGCTTTTCCCTCCTGCATTGGGCTTGCCATTGAAGACAGCAGGGGGCTTGTAGAGCTAGGGGGAGGGCCTGTCTTTTTGGTATTCTGTTCCCTTGGGCTCTAACTAGTGTGCCCATGGCCCACCAGGACTCCACTGTGCAGGGGGAAGGGTGTCTTCCCCTTTCCCGAAATTGGAAAGTGGAGGGCTCAGGGGCACCAGGTAGATCTCCTCAGCGTCCCTTCCAGATGCAGGGACCTGTTGCGGCAGAGGCAGAGCAGTCCCTCAGTGGGGGTGGGGTGGGGGTGGGGCTCATTTCCCAGCGGGGGTTTACTTGAGACTCTGTGGCCCCCTGTACTCTCGGAGGAGACTCCTGCTCACAGACATACCCTGCAACAGGCAAGACCCACTGACCGATGGAACATGCCAGGGATTTTCATTTGGGGAAATGGCCCTAGAATAAAACCAAGCCAATGAAACCCACGAGGCCACTCGTCCACCTGGAACTCACAGTAACCAAGTTTATGTGCGCTTGCGAATCCTTTACTACCTCTGCTGAGAGCCGGGGACCTCAGAGGAGGGTGAAGTGGACAAAAAGACCCTCTGTGCCAAGAGCTACACTTCACATTGAGCCATTCTCGAAGATGAGCACAATTTTCAAATTGACATTGTTGACATTGTTGGCTGTCTGGCCCAGTCACCTCAGACACACGGAGAACAGGTGTGGGGTGATCTGGCTGCACACAGACCCCTGCCCCTTACTGCTGAGCTTTGAAGGTCAAGGCCTCCTGTTTGGTCAAGGGAGCTGGGGGCATGAATCCTGGTTCAACATCTGGAGCAAACTTGAAGTTCTGGAAGCTTACGCTGATCGGAAGCCTTCTGTATGCTCTTCCATGCTGGAAGTTATCCTCTAAAACCTAGCCTCTTTTTCGTCCCCTATTTCCTGAGGGAATAGGTGCTTCCTGTGGCTTCCTCGAGCATCTGACAGCTGCTTCTCCAGTCCTGCAGTGACTAGTCGCTGGCTCCCCAGGTTGCTGCTGCAGTGGGCAAGTCTGAGTTTTTCCTCAGCAGAAGTGACACTGGCTACGGCTAACCTCTTCACTGAGCTGAATGAAGATTCCAGAATTGTCAGCAAGGCGTGAGGGGGTAGGCATGACCTCAGGGATACTCACTGGAACTCCCACATCTCCTGCTTTGCAACATTGCATGGTAAAGGAAGGCAGGACACGCGTGTCCTGGTGAGGACAGGAGTCCGTAGCTAAGGATCTGAGAGCTGGACAGTACCAGTCTTTGGCATGTCTAGGAACTCTTGCTCTAATCAGAATTTGTACAGGATCCTAGGTGAAGAGCCCAACAAGGAACAATGAATTGAGAGTTTAAAAAAGGAAAGGCTTTATTCTACTTTTGTGTTTTCAAGTTATTTGTAGCAGAACCCTATTTAAAGTAAGAAATCTTGATGGAACCCAAACCTGAGAACTATGTTGTGATCTATTTGTTTAAATTTATTTTAAGGTTGAACTTATATATTTCCCTAATATCATGCAGTGAAAATGCAAGTTAAATTGGTTTCCGTGGTAAAAAATTTGGTATTGAATGAGCGTACCCGTTTATTATGGTTTAAAAATGTGCTTTGAAAAATAGTATTTATGTATTTGTGGGACCTTCAAATGCACCTCGGATACCTAGGTGGTTCTGTGGTTCATGGAACCACCTAGAGTTTTAGAACTACTGTTAAGTCCTTTGGTTTCAAGTCTAGAATTTTTTTAAAGGGAAGTATCAGTCCTCGCTTCAGATGGACTTACTAGGCATGGATTCTGGGCTCATCCATTCCTGCAATATACAAATGCTCCAAAGTAGGGGGAAGCTTTGATGTACTTTAAGCCCAGCTGTCTTAGTGTGGAAGCATAGATGAGGAGAGGCAGGGGGTGTGGGAAGTGTTTGCATTCTCTATGAGGTTTAATTTCTGTTTAGGGCTCCTCAGTGATGGGAGCATTATTCCAGCAATCAAGAAGGGAGGAAGTCTTCTTATCAGGGAGGGAGGGTGGGTCACTGGGGAATATCACCTCCAGCTTCAACACTTTGACCTTGCTCTTCTGGAAGTTTCCAAGTGTCCTTTGGAAACAGGGATAAAATGTGACTGCTGGAAATAAGTGGCCCAACTCACAGGGCTGTTTCCATCCATCTTCTACAAGACAAAGGACTTAACATGTCCGAAAGGAGGTTTTTCCTGTAAAAAACAAAAACCCAAAAACACCCCCCCCCCCCCACCAAAAAACAGAAGGCCTTTCTAGAGATTGGTTTTAATGAGTTAAGGACTGATAAAGAAGTATGGAATGGGGTAGATTTGAGAACAAAAACATTACTGTTGAACAAAAATCACTATAGCTCTTAGCATGAAGATGGTGAATCAAGAAAGGAGTTGAACAGTTTAAGATTTTATTTATTCATGAGAGACACACACAGAGAGTGAGAGAGAGAGAGAGAGAGAGAGAGAGAGAGGGAGGCAGAGACACAGGCAGAGGGAGAAGCAGGCTCCATGCCAGGAGCCCGACGTAGGACTCGATCCTGGGACTCCAGGATCAGGCCCCAGGCCGAAGGGAGGCTCTAAACAGCTGAGCCACCAAGGGATCCCAAAGTTGAACAGTTCTATTTAAAGTTAAACTTACAGCATCATTCATATTTATACTTATGATGCTTTGATAGTACTACACAGTCTTGAAAGAAATTTGGAAAACTATAGGAAAGTTGAAGAGAAAAAAATCTGTATTTTCCAAGGACAATCATTGTTAATATTTTGGTATTTTGGTGTATTCCTCCCCCGACCTGCCTCGAGTTGTAAATAGATGCCTTTTAGAGTGGACAGTTCATCCGGTAACTTGAATGGAATGTAAATACCAGTTGTGTATATTTCATGAGGAGCAGCTTTTGGAATGCACTCGTGTTAGCTATACCCTGGAGAGCTCATCACTGGATTCTGACTTACTGCTGAGTCTTCTTTTAAATTGAGCCTGACATGAATAGGTCCTAAGAAATAATGAACTGAATTCTCCTTTTGATAGGCCTCTGCTCTTGGATTCGTGAGCTGTTAAAAATAGGGCTCTACAGTTTTTTTTCCCCCCAAATGTAAAAAAAAAAAAAAAAAAAAAAAAAAGTGAATAGCTTATTAATTGATGTGCAATCAGGAATCTTTTTGTTTTTTTCCCCTAATCATACAGGGAAGTGGAGATTTGACATTTGGGAGTTAGGTCATGGCAGTTACTCATCATGGCTGTCAGATTTTTGTTCTCCTTAGAATTTGCCAAGATCGATTACCAGCAGGAATTGGATCTAGGATATTAAACATTACTATCCTAGTTATCAAGCAATCATTTAAGTCAGTGATTCTTATTTTCAATCAAACACTGAGTGGTGATTCTTTTAGAAAAAAATCTTTTCTCCTCTTTATGATTAGGATTATGGTATTAGCATTTCAGTGACTATATTTAAGGCATATGATGGGGAAGAGATACCTGAATCTATTTGGTAACAGGCTGCATTTTGGGAGAAACTATGCCTGTCCCTCTGATGAGTGCCTAAAATATTAACTGTGGATGAAAGATGTCCTGTTGGGGGAATCTAAGCTTGATGGACATCAAGCGCAGACTTTCTAAATATACAGTAACTTGTTATTTTTATCATATTTCTCAGGTGTGTGAAAACTTCTCACCAGTTCATCATGCTTACGTGAGCCAGGGCCCTGTCGGAGGCTCTGAGCACGGGAGGGAGTCTTCCTTGGCTCTTCATCCCATGGGGCTGACATGCAACCATCCCTGGGGGAAAGGGAAGGGCTGAAGCTTGTCCAACAGGATCCCCTCTCATAGCTCCTTTTCCCCAAATGAGCTGGGAACCTTTCATTGCCAGCTCTTTGCCTCGGTGCTGCCATTCCAGCTGGCCAAAGAGAATTCGCAGGCCAGATTGGGGTTCTCAATGAATTTTGTGGTTATTCTCCTACAGACAAAACAAAAAGGCCTCTATTCTAAAGGACTAATTGAATGGTTTCTTTCTCTACATGTTAAACCAGATTGTGGACTATTTTATAATCACAGTGTGTAATCAGAGCATATATAGTATTTTCAGATATATCCCTTGTTTTATACTTTATATAGTTGTGCCATATAAGGGTGGTATGCCCACTGCCTGTGGTAGCATTTAGTCTCCATTGCTTTGGGAGTGATTTTGAGCCTTTTGAAATGGAGCTTTTGCACTTTATGCTATTTTTGTGAACTAGGACCGTTACATTCTATATTAAAGCCCTAAGTGGCATTTTCTGTGAATATGTATGTTTGTCTTTATTTCCAAAACGACTTCTGAAATAGCTGAAAGTGAAAAATGTATTTAATGGGTTGTCAAACAAGGCACATTTTCCCAGATTAGTTTGTTAACGAATTGGATATCGTTTTTAAGCATACTTTGGATTAGCGTAGCTGTTCTCGGAGCTGTGACATTAACACACCTAGTACTTCCAGCATAAGGTGCCTAAGTGCATACTAAATGACTTCCCTTTGCAGGAAAATTATGTACCCATTTTTCTTAATTCTCTGTGACCATTTGTTTAATTATTAAAGATTTCATAGGTCATCGTATTTAAAAGAACAACGTGACCACCAAAAGAAACTGGATGAGTATTATCGGTGTCATTAACAGTGGGGTTTTTAGACTTTTTTTCTGGCCTGGGTGAGGGGATAAGGAATGGCCAGAGACCCTTTGACAGTCTGGTGGGAGTGGGGAGTCTTCTAGGGAAGTGCCTATACGTGTAATTTTCTGGGAATTCAAGTGTCCCTAGAAGCCACCCAAGTAAAGAACTCCTCCTGCAGGACGGGGCACTAGACTGCTACCCCCACAGGTCTGCTTTCCCTACACCCTCTAAAACCAGTGCTCCGCCCCTCCCCCCTCCTCCTCTAGGTGTGGACTTTCCATTAGGAGGGGCTGGAGGGAGCCAGACCAGGGTCACTGGGATGTGCCTTTCAAGTGTCCTCAACAAAATGGGAGCTTACATTTTCCTCAAAGCTCTTTCCCGGTTTATAGTTTCAGATACTCCATAAGATTGTATCTGGGTCTGTCCTATTATTCCGTCTTTTGGATTATTGGATTTTTCCATAATAAAATTTAAGAGGTACAACATTTGGGGTTTTTTGCCCTTCATTCTCTGTGGGGTGGGGCTCAGCCTCCTTCCTGCCCCGACCTGAGTGCTGGCTGCCCTTCTCCCCAAGTTAGGGGTTTCTTCTTGGCTTCAAGTGGCCACTTCGGTTTCTAACAGGCTCCAGGCCTAGTGATGCCCCACTTACCTGGGAAGTCTCTCTGGGTAGTAACTCATAAAAAAAGGGAAAGAAAGATCAACCTCTCATGTTTTTAAAATTGGTTTATTTTATATTTCTTATTAAAACGTTTGGTTTAGCTGCTTTTACCACTGAGAACAGAGACTGTAACACTATCTTAAAAATTTAACAAATAGCAATAAAATAAATTTCTGTGTTAAAGCTAGTCACAAGAAAGTGGCTTAAGGTAAAACCAGGGGCGTGAGGAGACCAAATGGACGGTGACATTGGTGACATTTGCTAGGCAAGGGAGTCTGAACAAAGAAAGCCATGGCCTTGGGTGGACAGGACAGGGAGGGACTCCTGGAGTAATATCGCCATCTTGTGGCCTTTTTGGGAATTCCTCTCCGTGGTGCACTTGAAGCCCTTCCCAAGTACAAACCACCCCAGAACTCCATATAATTATCTCAAAACTCCAAGTTACACAGTTTCTTTCTGGGTCCAGGCATGTTTTCCTGCTTATTTTCCCCTCAAGCAGCTCTATGCCTTTTCTCCTCCTCACTTCCCCCAGCAGCTCATTCTTCATCCTCTTAGGTGTTTGATCTCAGAGTTTTAAAAAATCAGCCAAATACCAGAAAATGAATATTTTCCTGCACCGAAAACTGAGTTAACACAGTTGTGATCTGGAGGGAGTCTTTTTAATCTGCCGGAGTTAAGTTTACCTTTTGGGATTAATAGTTCCATTTATACAAGTCAAATGCCCAGTAAAACCCAAAAAATCTTTAAGACTGAATCCAGTTTAAACCAGTACTTGGCAAATAAACGCCTGTTTTGTATTACACGTGGTGCTAGCTGTAGAGGGCCATGTGCTGAACAAATCAGGGTGTTGTATGGAGGGGAGAAACCACCGATTGCTGAAATCCATGCATACAAGACCCATCAACAGCACTGGGAAGGCAGGCAGGGGACAGTGGTAACATCTTCTAAGCTTTAACTGAGGACCGTGAGCTACATTTAACATATAATCTCAGACCAATGAAAGGACGGCTATATTGCCTAGGAGTACGGTTTTCTTGAAGCTAACCTTTTTTTGAGAACTCTGCACATAAGTTATTTTCACACAAAGTTGTCTTATTTACTCCTCATGTCTTTCTTGTGAGGCCAGTATTACTATTATTCCTGGTTTGAATAGGATAAAACCGAGGCCCAGAAAGGTATTTTGATCACAGCCATTAGGTGGCAGAGGCAAGATTCAGACCCAAGACTTTCAACTCTTCTATTCAGTTCTCTTTCTACAAAGGATTTTAAATTAAATGCAATTAACATATAGTGTTATTAGTTTCAGAGGTAGAATTTCGAGATTCATCAATTGCATATAACACCCAGTGCTCATTCCCTCATTCACCCGCTGATCATTTCCTCATTCATATGCCCTCCTTAATGCCCATCACCCAGTTACCCCGTCCCTCCCCTCCCTCCCCTCCAGCGACTCTCAGTTTCTTTCCTATGATTGGGAGCCCCTTATGGTTTATCTCCATCTTTGATTTCATCTTATTTTTCCCAGGTTTGTTTCTTTTAGTAGCCAGAATCTTGCTTTATGCACTATTTTTTATGCGCTTGTTGATGTTCTCAGCCTAGTACACACTCCTTTTATCCATTATGTCTTCCACAGAATTAGTGTCCCTGTTTGGGTTGCTTCATTCTGCTGTTATAATCATGCCCACTTTTGTGCACAAACTTGAGCCTAGGGGCTGAAATTTGAGGGGAAGAGTATCAGTTTGAGTCCTCGTCAACCTGAGGTGAAGGCATGTTGATTTGGGATTGAGCAGGTGGCCGGTAGTGCAGGCTGACTGAGGCAGGAGGGAGGCTGGACTGTGGATTTGAGACCCCTCGGCCGATGGCATCATGGCATCGTGTGTGACAGGGACATGGCTGGTTTTGCTCCTGGTCATGACTTTAACTATTGTCTTTCTGGGAAACTATCTTTTCTTCGATTCTGAATGAAAGCCTTGCTGGATTGAGTATTCTTGGCTCATTTTTCCCTTTTAGCACTTTGAACATGTTATGCTGCTTTTTTCTGGCCTGCAGAGTTTCTGCTGAAAAATCCACTGATAGTCTTATGGGGTTTTCCCCTCACATATTTTTCTTTCTCTTGCTGCTTTTAAAATTCTCTATCACTACTTTGGACATCCCCCCCCCCAAAAGATTTTATGTATTTGAGAGAGACAAAGAGAGAGCATGAGTAGGGGAGAGAGGGAGAAACAGACTCCACTGAGCAGGGAGCCTGACATAGGGCTTGATCCCAGGACCCTGAGATCACAACCTGAGCTGAAGGCAGACACTTAACCAATTGAGCCACCCAGGTGTCCCTACTTCTGGCCATCTTATTTACTTTGTGTCTTGGTGCAGACCTCTTTGGGTTGGTTTTATTGGGGGCTCTCTGTACCCCTGAATCTGGATTTCTCTTTCCTTCCCCAGATTCAGGAGGTTTTTTAGCTATTATTTCTTCAAATAAGTCTTCTTCCCCCTTTTCTCTATTCTCTTCTGGGATACCTTATCATGCAATTGTCATTATGCTTGACAGTGTTGCTGAGTTCTCTGGGTCTATTTCTCATTTTGTGTAATTTCCCCCCCGCCCCCCCATCTGCTCAGCTTGATTACTTTCCACTACTCTGTCCTCCAGGTTGCTGACCCATTCTTCTACTTCCTCTTTTTTGCTATTTATTCCTGGTGGTCTATTTTTAATTTCATTTAGTGAGTTCATTATCTCTAATTCGTTCTTTCAGGTCTCCTATCTCTTTGTGGAGGGTCTCATGGAAGTCCTGTACTCTTTCTCAATTATAGCGAGTATCTTTATGAGCATCACTTTAAATTCACTAATAGATATATTACTTACCTTCATTTTGTTTAGATCTCTTGCTAGGGTTTTGTTCTGCTTTTTCACTTGGGACATATTCCTCTGTCTTCTCGTTTAGTCTATTTCTATGGGTTAGGAAAATCATTTTTGTCTCCCACACTTGAAAGTAATGGCTTTATGAAGAAGAGGTCCTAAAGTGCCCCACAGTGCAAGGTCTCCTTTTCACCAGAAAATGGTGCTTCAGGGGCGTCTCCTATGTGTGTTGCTACAGGGGTATCCTACTGTTGTAGCTGGGCTGTGTTTGCCTTCAGTCCAGTCTGCAATCAATCTCTGCCTGCTGTGGCTGAGGTCACAGAGGTTGCTGCCTGTGTTCTCCCCTAGGATTTTGATGGATTCCTGTCTCACACTTAGTTCTTTTAACTACAAAGGATTTCTTAAATGGCAAAAGAGGTAAAAGGTTTTTCATATAGGTGGGCACCAAGTTGGGATTATCAGATTCAAAACTGTCCTGTTAGTACACATGATTAGACAAAATATGGAGTAGCAGTGGGCATAGAGTAGGTACTCAAATAAGTGGCAGTTGATAAGATGACCTACCACCAGGCAGTCATAGATGTAAGTGTTGTCTTGTGGCCCTAGTGAGAAGCTGTACCCCATTCCCCACACTTCCCAGTGGTGATGGTGTGTACACACAGAGGAATCCTCTTAACTTCTGGTTCCACAGTCCAAACAGTCTCTTTCCTATAGTGACAGATCCAATTATTTCTTGGCCATCTCTGGACATCCACTAGGCATTTCACATTTGCCTTCATTTATAGCTCTCAAACTTGGACCTTGTACACTTTCTCAGTAAGTCATGACATTTTCTGTTCATTTGCTGGGGAAATCCCTGCCTTTCTGCTGTTGTCCATATCTAACCTAACAATAAGTGAATCCTCTTGATTCTGCTTTTCCAATGTCTTAAAATCCATCCAGTTCTCTCCATTCTAGTGAAGCAGCTACCGTCTCTTGCCAATCCATCCTCCATCTGGAGCCACAGTCATCTTTCTTTTTTTTAAGATTTGAGAGAAAGAGAGCAAGTGCACGAGTGAGCAAGAAAGGGGGAGGGGCTGAGGGAGAAGGAAAGAATCTCTAGCAGACTCTGTGCTGAGCATGGAGCCCA